GATTTATAAGTTACTAACGACTCAGCCTCGCTTCACTTCGGGTTCGTCCCTAGAAAAAAAACAAATCTATCCCACGGGAACCGTACATTTTTCCGGAATAAAAAGAAACATTTGTACTATTTCAGACTATAATTTATATCTCTACCTCATCCAGATCTATTTGTCCGTTCTTGCGTGAAAGAGTAACAAACATCCGACCTCAGAAACTTTCACATTTATAATATTAGTATATGGATATTACTGTTAAACTTCTACAATTTTTGCTCAGTGGATAGTCGCAAAAAAGGAATTCATATTATATTCATTCACACAAATTTTTGCGTTATAATATTAATGTTAAGTAGAATTGTAGGATAAAAAATACGCATCTGTATTTTTTGATGTGAGAAAAGCACAATATTATTTGACGTAGTAAAAACTTTATACAAAATAACTTTATAATCTATTATATATAACTAGATATATAATACAGTACAGCCAAATAGCCTTTAATAATGCAAAAAGTTTACATTCTCCTGTTGACTAATTGCTTATTTTTTAACCCCCGACGCAAAAAGAGGGGTGTTATAAGTTTGACATCGATGTCTCTCGTGTGTGCCTATCTGTGGCATCGTAGCTCTCAAACAGATGGACCGATTTCGATGCAGTTTTTTTTATTTGAAAGCCAGTTTCCTTGCGTGGAAACTCGCTTTCAAATTAAGCTAAGAAAGCTATGTTTGGTTAATATCAGTCCAGCAGTGTAAGAGTATCAGTTCTTTTCCAAAATGATGGAGGGCATTTTGGCAATTTATAATTTTATTTTAAATATCTATAAAGAAGTAACGTGAAAATTTTAAAAATACCAATGTAACATAAAGTTGCAAGCATTAGGTCAAGGTTCTAATAATATTATAAAACGTAATGTAAAACGTAAATAGCTTGCGGCGTAATTGTGGTGAGCTCTTTTATAGTCTTTGCTTAGTACTGTATCATCAAAATTTATTTTTACAAGCCGTTACCGTTATGGAGCTGATAGAAAATAGTATTTGGCAGTAAATTACATCATTTTTTTTAATTAAAGTTATTAAATTAGCTTGAATCATTAATAGTTATAAAAATTAAAAATTAAAAAAAACCCCTACGCAAATTAATTGTCATTTAACGATTACACTGGCACGCGTGAAGCACTTAATCGAGTAACCATACGCCAAAATGCCTTACATCATTTTGGAAAAGAGCTGATACTCTTACACTGCTGGACTGATATTAACCATATATAGCTAAGAACCACCGCAAGGAAACTGGCTTTCAAATGAAAAAAAAAACCACATCGAAATCGGCCCATTCGTTTGAGAGCTATGATGCTACAGATAGACAGACACACACACACACACAGAGAGAGAGAGAGACAGACAGACTCTTTTTGCGTCGGGGGTTAAAAAATACTATCTACTGCTTCGACAGTTTTCATTAAAAATTCGTTGTTTATTAAACAATCTAATTATAAAAAAAAAAAACAACTTAAAAACAGGTTTTTAGCTTTCTTACTTTCAATTGCCTTATTAATTATACTGATATGTATTTATAACTAAATGATTTAATGAAATTTGTAATATAAAAATCAGATATAGATTGGATAAAGCATGGAGGTCTATAAAACATATACAGAAACCATTTTATTAAATAAAATAAAAAAAAATATTGCAATAAATACTACTACTCAGCTCCCTAAGATGTAAAGCGGAAGCAAAACAAAAGAACTATTCCTCCAGTTAACCTCTAAATGAATCAAAAATAAAATCAATTGAAAAATAAGAAGCGATAATAAATTAAAAATGTGCGTGTGTTAATGTGTGTGTACGTGAGTAAGTATGTGTGTGTAGGTGTCTATGTGTGCGTGCGTGTTTGTGTGTGTGTATAATAGTATGAATTTTTAAATGGTTTATTAAATTAGGTATAGTGATGATCAAAAATTTCAGTCCCATCCCTTTTGTGCAGGAATACTTCAAGTTTTCTACAGCAAGTCGCCGTTTTAATAAGGCTGTACTGTACAGTTTTCCAAAGTGACTTGCACTCATCTTAGAAACATGCTGCACACAAACATTGATAAATTCTGGGCTCCAAATGCGATGTTCCAGATCTGTATCTCTAAATTTTCATATGCTATTAAAAAGTTATTTCCTAGCTCCTTAGTTCAATAAATAAAAAAAAATGCAAAGTACGTAGGAACTAATTAGAAACTTCCTTTTTTCCTTATGTAAATAGTTGTCTTTCGACTTCCCGTAACGCGAAATTACCGCTTGTCATTTTAATTCAGGCTTTTGTGACACTGAGGACAATAGAGACTCAAAGGGCTTGAAGAGAAATATAAGAGTATTTCCTTCCGCTTCAAACTGTGATTAATGAATTTCACAGATTTAGATATAGTGTAGGAGATAATAGTGTTATTTTAAACGTCTTTATTTAATTATCTTCTTTATTATATATATATATATATATATATATATATATATATATATATATATATATATATATATATAAATACAATTTGAGTATTTACAGTAGACAATAAACTTTATTAGTATTGTAAATGAAACTCAGCGAGACTTAAAAAAAAACGGGAAAATATAGTTAAAAAATTGAAAAAATCACAACAAGGTCGATCACACAATTAATGTATAACAGAATGGATGTATTATTTCATTATGACTTTTACAAGGAAATAATACAATTTACGTGTTAATGGAAATGATAAAATTCATTTTATATCTAACTTTTGGTAGATTTTAATATCAATAAAGCAAGAAAAAAATGAAAAGTTTACTAATGACTAACCTAAAAATATATGTAAATAAATATATGAGAAATCAAGTTCTAGTAAAAGGTTAGCAGCATAATCAACAATCACGTAATAAGTATTAAGTAATGAATAATAATAATATAAAAACAATGTCAGGTGTATTTTAATTAAGCATATACATAAGAAAGAATTTACAAAATATTATAACGTTCTTACATAGTAAAGTTTTTTTATATAAAGTTACTAAACCAGACTTTAGTTAGTATGTTCTTGTTATATTCAAATTCAAAATACAAATATACATATGTATGTATATGGCCTTTACTTGAGTTTTAGCTTATATAACTCTTAAAGTCCATGAAATATAATGTTTACCTATAATTGTGTCATTGCTGAATGAATAAGACAAACTGACAATCATTAAGAAATTGATTATGATAATATTTTAGATATAGCATCTTTATTAACTTCATAGATTCTAAGTTCCTAAAAACACGCCTTCTTGTACACTTTTAGTTAATTTTCAGCAGCAAAATGAACTATGAGTAATACAAGCAGGTAATTGTACTTCATCAATTAATATATTATTAAATAATATAAATAAACATGTTATTTTATTTCTGCTATATCGAAAATAGAACTACATTTCTCCTTTTTTGTGAACTTTTAGATTTTAAAGTTAAATGCCAAAAACATTATTATATAGATTTTTTTATTAAAAAAAAAATTATTTTAATATCTTCATAAGCTGCAATCTCTTAGTCTATAAATACTTGAGTCTGAGACCGGTTGCTCTTGGCCTTGGTCTCATCTAGATCATTCGGTTGTACGCACTGGCTGAAGCCATAATTTACGCATACATACATTTTCTACATACCTAAGCCATGCAACGACCTATCCGCATTGCTTTTTAACTAAATCGGTTGGATGTTTCATCGATTTACGTAAACAAATGTAAAAAGGCATAGAGTAAGTAGTAATGGAAGTATTTACTACAGTGTAAAGTTAAAGGAGACTAACATTCAAAACCTAAAGTACAAGTTTGGAAAGAGTAGGTGAAAACTTAACTCGAGGCTCGTAATTATAAGTATACGTATACCAAATTACTTCTTCTGCTATTTGTTAAAATCTTAACACCTCCAGGTAAATTTCTAAGAAATCTATTGTTGACTGTAACGCCGGCGTGTCCGCGATCGTGGAGGGATTAAAGCTCTTTGCGCACAAACCAATGCGCAAGAGTTTGTAATTAAAAGGTCTTGAGTTGAGACGGGAATTGAGATGAGATCTTAATTATAAAAATCTTATCATGTAACAAATTACCATTTCCTTAATGTAAATGCATACTAATATTATAAATGTGAAAATGTGTGTGTTTGTTTGTTTGTCTTCCTTTCACGTCGAAACAGAGTGACAGATTGGCGTATTTTTAGGTCACTTTTTATTCCTACGGAAAAACACATTATAATACAACCCACAAAAAGTCATCATACCTAAGTATATACATAATTATTCTACCTATTCTATACTAATTGCTAACTAACGAACCCGAGAGAAGAGAGGGTGAGTCGATAAAAGGTTTATTAGGTAAATATTTATAACGAGTAATATTGTTCAAAAATTTAAAATTTAATTTGGAAAAAATAGACGAAAAAGACATTTTATATTTGCGTACAAGTATGTTTTAAAAATATTTAAAAAAATATTTTTTTATATTAATTATTTGTGGGTAGGCTGTCTGTAACAACTATATAATACCTTTGAGACATCTAACACCTTAGTCTCTCCCGTGACCATGATTGCTGTAAAGCATTCGAAACGTCGGGAACCAAAAATCAAAATAAATCCGCGAAAAAATCCGAAAAGATAGTTTTATTTAAAATGTCAAATATTCGCGTAAATTTAAGAAAGTATTAAATATTTGTTATCATTGGTTATAGGAAAATTGTACATAATATGATAAACTGAATACCTGAAAAATATAGGTCGAAGTCATCATTTTTCATAGCTAATAATAAAATCAATGCCGGCACGAATAGTTTGATAACAATTATACTGACCGAGGAGGGTTCTGTTACAAAACCACAAGGGCTTCGTTGGCCGCATGACAATATTAGCGGTTGTAACGACATTATAAATACAAGTGGACGGCGCAAGCCTCAGTGTACGCCATAGCTGCTGCGAAGCGCGGGAAAGTTTGACGTTTGCGTTCGGATATTTTAATATGATTTTCAAGGTTAGTGTTTTGTTTTTTTTTTTTAATTTTTTTCGATGTAAAAAACCGATATAGATGCACGGTGCTATCGATATTCTTATATCTATTTTTTTATTTATTTTTTATTATATTTTTACTAAATTTATATTTATTTGTTCATTTCATAATATATTCAACTCAATCATATGAGTTTTTGCTTAGTTAATACTTATTAAATTATAATAGTATTATAATTTTATTTATTTAATTTTATCATTATTTATGAAATGTTGTGTACTGTAAAGTAATTATTATAGTTCATTTTTAACCATGTAACATACGAGTATATTTGTCCATGAAAATGAACAAAGAGTTACTGCAGCAATGTTTACACTTTACAGACAAAATGTTCAATTCTAATAATATTGGTACGATTACTTACGGTTAATTCTAAATGAGTGTTTTATTGAAAAACGCTACTACTTATTCTATAAATTTATTCGACTCTATTACATGACTGTTTAACTGAAATAAATACATTTTGAAAATACTAATATGTAATCTGTTCTCGCTTTGCACAATGTAGCGTTTCCAAATAAATAAAACTAACCTCTGTCACTTTTTTATTAAAAAACAAAATCGATTTTTTATTGCGTGAAAAAAGTATGAAATAGTTTAGTTTTATAAGTACCTAAGAATAAAACTAAAAATGATAAAAAATAATAATAAATACTAAAACATGTTCTAATAGTTCTGCTTTTTTTAAATATTTAATTTAAATTACATACGATATTTACTTACGACATATAAAACTTATTGGAATTTATAGAGAACTAGTTTTTACATAATACTATAATCTAGATTCCAGATTGCCTAGATTTCTTAAATATACGACGTAATGTTCTAATTTCTGGTAGGTACATAGATATGTTTACTATTTTATCTTTCTGTTAGTAAATAGCAAGTTAGTAAATATTGTTAGAGTTTCTTTTCTCGGGCCAAGTTTAGTTATTGAGTCTTTCTGTATAGTAAGCCTCAGTAACAGCCCGGAGTTGGGACGTTGGCGGTATTTCACCCCCGTGCCTCGAAGAGCACGTAAAGCTGTCGGTCCTGCGCCTTAACCCTCACTGGTCGTGTCGAGCAGTCGTCCCACCGGAGTATGAGAGTGACAGGAATAGAGAGTGCACCTGTGTCTGCGCGTACACTTGTGCACTATAATATCTCCTGCGCAGTTGGCTAGTCTCGGTAGAATCGGTCAGGAGAACATCATTGTTAGTTTCTTTATTTTGGATAATTCAACGCACTGTATTATATACATGTAATGATTGAAGTAACAAAGTCAAATATTATGTAAGTAAAACTAGGTGTCCAAGTTAGTATCTATTGCATAAAAATGTAATTCACGTCTGTACTATGAATGTAGAAATATATCACATATTTTACCTAATACGATATGCTATTCAGATTCTTTAGAAAAAAAAAACAGAACCAAATAAAATCAGCGTGACTGCAACTGTAATGACGCATATTTATAATTAAGTTTATAGGTATGAAATATATTTTTTACGTTATTCATAAATTCCAATGTATACATAACTATTTAAAAGCTCTTATCATTCATTTGACGACACGTTTGGCTCAGTTTGTAGTGACCCTACTTGCTGTGCCAGCGGTCGCGGTTTCAAGTCCCGCTGGAGACATTCATTTCTGTGATGAGCACGAATGTTTCTACTCCAGTCATGGGCGTTTGTATTTATACTATGTATTTATTTAAAGTTATGTGTATCAACTATCTGGTATCCGTAACACAAGTCTCGTAGCTCACTCATGAAACTAGATGGTGTTGTGATAATGTCCCAGCATATTTATTTTAATTGAATATTTTTGAATAGTGTATCAGTCATTTCAATGAAATCAATTTATTTTGCGTGCAAAATAAATTGTTAAAAATAAATCAAGTCATAATTAATTATGTGTTAACACCTCCAGGTAAATTTCTAAGAAATTACTTAAATTTCTATGAAATCTATTGTTAATTGTAACGCCGGCGTGTACGCGGTCGTTGAAGGATTAATGACAAATATACGGATATTGATTACATCAGTTCCAAATATCTGTAACGTAACAAAGCTATCAGAACAAGGATAGTTAAGGAATGCAATACTACGCAGGCGTAGTTACACAACCCGAAGTAACAGACTAGTTTAATGGCAAGAAAATTGTTGTACACTATAAATTATAGGATTTCTATACGATCGCCCACTTTACTTGATATTACATTATAAGGCAGTAAGAATTATAAGACGTGATGTTTGAAGTAGATACGACAGAAATTAGAACTTTAATTATATTAAATAATTTTAAAATCGATTCTGATGTCTTTGGATCGATTATGACTTTGGCATATGCTAAAATATAAAATTATTTTTTCAATCGCAATGTAATATTTCAAACATTTTGAAATCATGGAAAAAATATGTAATTTATGAATTTAATAACAATTTGTTACTTATATAAAACTACGTATTTACCCTCGCTTCATCTATATTAATACGATACATTCTGTGAAAATCAATCGGTTAGTACATGTAATTTTAAAGGTAGTATATCTGCAATAGATATAAAAGTTACGCAATGATTTCGTATGTTACTCATCTTTAAAATCGTAGCGCATCGTAGCAAAGACAACGACGCGTAGATCGTCCTTACGACTACGATATTGAAGATAATGGAGCAATTACAATTATTTTTTATTTATACCCATATAAGTATTTATTGGATACAAAATGAGATATCTTAAATAATAAAAACTTTATTAATAAATGAACAATTATATATATTGTATTGCTTTATAATATTATTGAAAAATATGTGGAAGTGTTTTGATTATCTTATATTTCGAAGTCTAATGCATTCGTCTTTCATCTTGATGAATAAAATTAAAGTAATTGTTGGTAATATTAAAATAGCTAATCCATATAATTATGCGTTACGTACATTCATAATGTGTTAATTTGCACGGTACCAAAACTCTAGCATTTTTTTAAATGTTACGTATTCGGGTGAGAGTGAAATATGCTATATATATATATATTATATATATATATATATATATTATATATATATATATATATATTATATATATAGCACGTGAAGCCTCAGATAAAGGCGAGTATAATATATAAATATATTTTGATGATATAGTAGTCTTGTTGCTAGTTAAGGACATAATAAAAGTTTAAATTTAAACAATTTTACTGGATCTCATGTCAATTTTGCTGTTATTTAACAACGGTCCAATTTAAACACATCAGTTAATATATGAGTAATTCTTATAAAATTCTGAAGTAAAAACTGTCTATGAACAGGCACAGTGTACTTGTAAGACGACCTTGAGACGGTAAATTTCTTCAAATGCCAAGTTACATGAAACAATTAAATGTAACTAGGCCAAGCGCCTGACGTTACTCAAACAGATGTGGTTCAGAATACTAATATCTTGCATGGAAGAACAATCGATTTGTTAACCATTGTGATCAAAACAGGGATATAAGCACTGTCTGATGAATCGATAATTTTAACAGACTAGCATAGTAGTGTATCAAGTATTAAAAAAATACGGAAATTAAGAGTTTCCGGCAAAAAAATAGATTTGTCTAATGAATCTAGGTCACAACAGCTGAGTAATTAAAGTGGAATTTCGTCTAGATAACTATTTTTTTTAATTATGTTGGACATTAGCACACAGTGCCATCTAGTTCCATGGTAAGCTACGACTTACGAGGCTTGTGTTATGGATACCAGATAGTTGATAAACTTAACATATATGACTTTAACTACATACATATTTTAAATATGAACACCCAAGTCTGGAGTACAAACATTCGTGCTCGTCACACAAATGAATTCCCCCCAGAGGGACTAAAACTCGCGACCGCTAGCACAGCAAGTAGGATCACTACAAAATGAGCCAAACGTGTCGTCAAATTCTAAATATAATCTGTTTAAATAATGATTATAATAGAATTTAAATGCTTTAGCTTTTCTTAGATATATGTCGTTAAGGTATTAATAGAAAGATTCAAAGCTATAAATAAGAAGCATTAATTTTTGCAACGTAGCAAATAAAAATAAGAAAATATTTAAGTAGCCTGCGATTGTCATGACTCATGCTGTATACTACGTACTCGTATATATAGGAAGTTATAAGAATGTTGCTAATACCTTTACGGTTTTTGCAAGCCTGTAGCTAATTTCCTTTTTTTGACGTCACGTGACCTTTTTTGACCGATTCGAAACAAATATTATATGTGTAATAATTACTCTTTAAGTGATTTTGAAGTCAATCTAAATGTTAGTCGATGTAAAATCATATCCACAATGCGCACGTATCTTTACTAATAAAATTGGGTATTTAAGTCATTCAAGCGCACCAAAGTGTAGAACAACGAAACCCTGATTCATAACATAAGAGCAAAAACTATTCAGTTTCAACAGTCGCTGTGGTCGAAATAGTTCAAGACATCATAACATCATCATAAAAAGCTCTATCAAACTCTGATTACTCATATTATATTCATTAGCATAGTAATGCTTAGTGTTTACCTTTGCCTACATTAAAGAAAATTATGGACTCCAAACGTTCCAAACGGAATAACATAAACAAATCTATCCCTCGGGAACCGTATATTTTTCAGGAATATAAAGTAGCTTATGTGTTATTCCAGGCTATAATCTATCTCTGTGCCAAATTTCATCTAGATCCATTCAGCCGTTCTGGTGTGAAAGAGTAACAAACATCTATACATACTCACAAACTTTCATATTTATAATAATTTATACAGATTTAAGATCATAGGTTATGGCTGTATTTCGATATGTGAGTTAATAACCATTTTTATAACGAGCTAGTAGCTACTCGCTCTAACTTTGCTTAGGTATGTATATTATACGTTGAGAGAACTATAAATGTTAAAAACCTTCCTACCTTTTTACTTTTAGTATTTTTAGTTATTACTTAAAGTTATTTTAGTTTAATTAGCTTTAAGATAAGCTTATTCCTTTAGAATAATCGTGGTTATAGTTAGAAGTAATAGAATATTTTAAAGATCTTAAAGAGAAAACTTTGATTAAAATATATTAATTGGAGAGTAAGCTAAACTGCTGTTACATAAGATATAAATACCATATTGTTGTATTTGCTGCGTAATAGTAAAATGGAGGGTTACGAGTTAAAATATAAACAAGTAGTGCAGTGTGTTGTAATTTATATTATTACATTATGGCCTAGTAGCCTCGTCTACTTTTTGTTATTATTTTTTAAGATACAATCTGAAGTAACACATAAGCGATGAAATAGAAAACGTAAACAAAAAGATAAGTTGACAACAACTAAGTCGATCGACTTTACATACTTGTAATATCTAATTATTATTGACATCGCATTCCACGCCTCGATAACGCAATAAGCTTTCGATGTATAGTATGAATAAGCAAGGACGACATCTTGCGAAGGTTTAAGTTTGTTTACGTGATTGATTCTTACAACGAAATTTCCGAAAATTTTTATATAAGTAATATTAATTTTGATAGTATATAGTAAAATACAACCCCTTACTCTTAAGCTTAAATTATCATGAATATAGATAATGCTTCAGTCAAATAATAAAAAATAATAATTTATTAAATACATTCTTAGATTTACGCGAATATTTGAATTTTAAATAAAACTATCTTTTCGGATTTTTTCGCGAATTTATTTTGGTTTTTGGTTCCCGACGTTACTAGTCCACAGAGACCAGTCTCTCCCGTGACCATGATTGCTGTAAAGCATTCGAAACGTCGGGAACCAAAAATCAAGATAAATTCGCGAAAAACACCGACAAGATAGTTTTATTTAAAATAATAATTTATTGTTTATTTTTTAGAAACCGCTCGACCGATTTAATTCCAAATACATAAAAAATAAGATTTCGATGAATTGAGAACCTCCTCCTTTTTTAAAGATTAAAGCAAATCTCGTTATTGTACAATTGTTGCGTTGAATAAAAACAAACGAATAAAAATACTCTAATATATTGAAAATGCTAGTTAGGATGCTATTGTGGCTCGTAGCTCTTACGTCTGGCTATGTATTGAAATAACCAAATTAAATTATAAGATCACAAAACTATATAGAGCTGTAGAGAGCCCAAAATGAGCTATTAGAGAACATTATCTATATTAATTCTTACTTTTTCTTATAAAATATATTCGAATCAGAATTCTAAATTTTTTATAATAAAAATAGTTCCGCCAACTACCAAGGCCAAAGGACATTCACTGGGCGTTCTTTGTTACGAGAAACGCCTTTATGTTCGGAAACTATTCTAGACCGTTTTCCGTCCATTTTGAAAGGTTAAATACCGAAATACTGATTCAGAATTTCATAGAAACGGTCATATTTTATGATACTGCTCTGTAAAAATACGTTGTTTAGTGGAAGTCTAAGGAAAATGTTATAAGAATATTTTTTAAATCTATGAAATATGTATGACTCATAATTCGCCTTTTATATTCCTAGTTCCTACTATTATTTGTTTTTATGTAGGTAAATACATATGTATATAAACGTGATTTATAAAAAGAACCTATATTTCTTATTTTCAGGCGCTGTTGCTCTGCGCGGTTTGCGCTTGCGCATATTCACAAAACTATAATGGACCTACAACGACCCCTGTACCGATTCTCAAACAGATAAACAAACAAAATGACGATGGTTCATACAGCTTTGGGTATGAAGCAGCTGATGGATCGTTCAAAATTGAAACGAAGTACCCCAATGGTGACGTAGCTGGGAAGTATGGATATGTAGACGAGAGTGGCAAAGTCAGGGAGGTTTCATATGGTGCAAGCAGTCAAAGAGGATTTGAGCCTGAAGGTATGAGAGCTGTAAAATTTTATATTTATATATTACTAGCATTGCCCGCGGCTCCGCTCGCGTTCAGATGACCAAAATCCAAATTCTTAGATTTAACATATTAGTATACTCTTACATTGCAGTTTTTGTATTTTTTCTCAGAAAAGAGACATTTTTCCACGGTAAAAAGTATCCTACGTGTTGACCTGAATAACCAGCTATCACCATACAAAATCCCTCCAGAGGTTTTTCTGTGATGCGGTAACAGACAGACAGACAGACAGACAGACAAAAATTCTAAAAACTTTAGATACGGCCATTGTATCGATAATAATGTCTATTCTAATAAGATTTTCCAAAAAATATTTAATGTGCAGATTCGACTTAGTTACAATTTTATTATATGTATAGATGTTTATTACTAGCGACTCATCCTCGCTTCGCTGGGGTTCGTACTTAGCTTGCTTCCCTATACAAACTTTCATCCCCATTCTAATCCTCTTAATGGATGATTTTCGGGATAAAAATTATTTCACTCACTCACTTTTCATATCATGAGACTTAAAAAACTCATCATAGTAAAAAAAATCTTTTAATATTCTTCTATACAAAACTTCCTGACAATAACAAACACAAAAACAAAGAATTATCCAATTTGACGCAGCCGATCGGAAGTTATGAGCGTACATATATTTCGGTGATCCATTTTTATTTATATAGATAGATTTACCCGCCCTGTTGTGTACATATACTTCACATTATATTCAGACTAATAAATATCAAAATATCCGATAATATTATAGCGCCATCTATCGTACATTGATGTACTTTGTCCGAAACTATTTTTATGATGTGAAACATAATATTTAACATGGTATACATTACATTTCATATTATAAAATAGTGACCATGAAAGCTAAAAGACTTATGTCAGAAACTTCCGCAGAATTGACCGCAGTCAGATGAATGATTTACTAATAAAGATAAAAATGCAAACCCATGTTATATTTAATACTAGCAGAACCCGCGGTTTCGCTCGCGCTAATACTACAAAAAAACTCTAAAAAGGTAGATTTCATACAAACTTTCATCCCCTATTTTACCCTCTTATGGAATGAATTTGAAAAATGCTAAAACACATTTTTATGTAATTGTTTTGAAGAGCATTAATACCAAATTTCAAGTAATTCTGATCATAAATATTTTTTAGGTTATATTATAACGTGTTTTCCCAAGGGAATGAGATAATTTCCCGCGGTAAAAAATCACTCCAATCCGTCACTCTGTTTGGACGTGAAACAAGGACAAACAAACAAATAAACAAACAAACACATTTTCATATTTATAATATTAGTATGGATATTTATATAACTACCTGAAATATGTTAATGAGGTTTATTTTTTAAGCACTAAGCAAGCCTAGTATTGATTATCCAATATATATTTTATAAAATCTAATAATATAATTGGCTACAAACTAAAATTAATCAAGAGGCATTTACGAGAAAATTATCACACAACATATACTCGTACTTGCTTATTTTGCTTAAGGGCTTTCTTAATGGCTAGGTTGGCCAACTTACAAAAACTAGTAAACTTCTAAGAATATGACACTGAACCAAATAACGTGTTAGCAAGTGGGCCAAGTTTTGAAATATATTACAACAAGTACACTAATTTTCTTGAGAAAGAAATTCATGTTAATCGAACTAATTGAATGATGTAAAATCTTAGTTACGGAGTCTAAATGGTTTATTTGAGGGTATTTTGTTAGTAGAAGACCAAATATGTTTCAAATACACTGAATCAAAACGCCAGTTATAAGGAAACGTAAAGCATTTTATTAATTTTTATTTATTTATATTAATTTCTTAGATTATTTTTTAGGTCACGAAATGATAAAAAATACTTTAATTTCAAGTATTTCGTATACTATATACTAGTAGTAATAGACCAGTCTTAGGTAATTAATTAATAAAATATTTAATTAGTTATGTAAAATTCCATATATACTGTGGCTTTTTCACAATTTCTATTTCTGACACCAACAACCTTCACGCACTGATTGCGGAGGTAGTTGACCGATAACTTTAAAATAAAAGCGTAAAGCGTTACATCATTCATTTTATTCACACTCAATTAATATGAACGAAATCTTCATTGATACTATATTCTGACTCTATATTATTACACTTTTATGGATATGCATATTTATAGATATTATACACGTTTAAATGTATGAAAACAATTTTCTTTTTATAGATTTTTTAATATATTATGTGAACATAATTTAATATGTGCCTTATTCTTTCCAATTTTGTAATAAAAAAATTAATACTTTTGTATTACATAAAAAATAAGCCGGCAAATTGCAACCAGGTGTTTTGATGCCCCTAATCATTTTCCAGGTCCTGGAATCATGGTGCCACCACCAACTCTTCACGATCCATCATCCACCAATGCTTTAACCGACGGCCAAGAAGATGATGGTCAATATAGAGAGGACCCTAAAATCTACGAAGACCCAAAATACAATAGTAGAGTCCAATCCAGACCTAGCTCGTTTAGACAGTATCAACAACCAGCGCAACAAGCCAGCTTCCAAACGCAACCAAAGTTCCAATCAAGCTTCCAATCGCAGCCACAACAAACATTCCAGTCTAGTTTCGAATCGCAACCACAACAAGTACAACCGCAACCACAATACCAACCGCAGTACCAACAACAACAATATCAACCACGACAACCATTATATACTCAACAAAATGACCTGTTCAATCAGTCCCCCCAACAATTCACTCAGGAATACAGACCTCAAAGCCAAGTTTACCATCAACAACCACAATTCTCCTACCAAGCTTACACCCCACAACCATACCAGAACTACCAAACCCAAAAACCATACCAGAACTACCAAACTCAAAATTATCAAGGCCAAAATTTTAACCCCTTTAACGGACACCCAGCTCAAAACTTCGACCCTAACACAGGCTCTTATTCTATCAACTTCACTGGCTAATAAACATTGAATTTATTAGGTTATATTGTTACATTATAGTAATATCATGTATTTTTTTTTAATTTTGTATAAAAATTAGTGACTCTACAAAAATATAGTTCCAAGTCCGTCGATATGCAAATAACATCATTCTGTGTCATATTAAATTTAATAATTTACTGAATACTCATTTGCATTCAAATCATTTTTAGTATATTAGTGTATAGTTTTATATTTTGTACAATATTTAGTACTAGTCAAGTTTTCAAAGTAATTTGTTATCGGTACATTAAGCTTTACTTAAATTATTTTTGAGCCCAGTTTCCTTATGTTTTATCCCTATACCAGTGGTTTTATTCTATACATATATATATATATATATATATATATATATATATATATATATATATATATATATATATATATATAATATTTGATACATATTTATTTCACATATTTGTACATGTATTTTATCTATTTAAATATTTTATGCATTAATATTTTCTATTTAACTTATATAAGTATATATTGCGTGTAAGTATATATACATGTGATAATTTATTAATATTTATTTATTTATTATTTATAATATATATATATATAACTATTTATATGTATTCATAAATTAAAATATAAAATTATATTTATTATACAAAATTCATTATATAATATATTTTTATTTTATTATGTACATTTAATATTTTATGTGTTTAATTTATACATTAACTTACATAATTATCTTATGTATACTTTAACGTGTAATGTACATATGTATATGTTATGGTTTTTATATTTTATATATATAGTATGTATTTATGAACCGATCAATAATTCAGCGTGTACTGCGAGTTGCGTGTGCGTGCTATGGCTTATGTGTTTGGACTAAAATATACGTGTCCAGGGTATAAATAGTTGAATAAAGACTTACGTAAAATATCCTTATTGTTTCCTTTACTAATAAAAGTGAAAGCTTGAAAGCTATGCTTCACTAAATAATTTATTTTTTTTGCAATTTGTTGAACAATTTTAGACAGAAGGAGTCTATATTAGTCAATTTGACTGATTACTATAATTTTAATTGCATTCTATTCGGATAAACCCTAAAGTGATGATATCATATGTATATAAAAACTTATAATGTTACCAATAATAGTATAAGTGATTCGTAATGCATAATAATTTATACTTTTAAAATAATAAGAAATATTAACTTCGTTTTAGTAGATAATTTTGGTTTTTTTAAATATATTTAGATATTGTGTAGAATAACAAAAAAAAACAAATTTCAATTTTACTGTCGGGTATTAAATAAAAAAAAGCAACTTTTGTGACGCAGTATATAAATACTTCGTTCGGCATACTTCTTTCTGTTCCAGATGAGGTTATACAGGGTAAAAATTACCATATTCATACGAAGTCACTTCTGGTTAAAGCAAACCGCAACTTTTGGAGTACTTTTATAGAAGTCATGATAATGACATGACATCACGTCATTTAAGCCATTTTAATAAGCTTCTGCTAGGCGTGAGTTTCCCTATAATTAGCATGCTGACCAAGTGCGGGTTTGTAGACTGTGCATATTTTCCGTAAACTATGTAGTTAGGTTTTCTCAGATATGTATATATACGTTTCCTCACGATGTTTTCTTTCCCCGTAAGGCCAGTGACAATCATATTGAAAATGATTCGCATCTGAAAATATCAGAAGTATTTTCACTTGGTTTTCTAAACGAGCGCTCTACCTCTTCTAATTTTCTTCATCTAGAACAGCTATAATACTCAACCTGTGGCCCGCGGACCGCATGCAGCAGCATTAAAAGCCGCATTATAACATATCTTTGTTAAAACAGTACATCGTTAACTTGGAATTACGTTTTCATTAAGACCTAAATAATTTTTGCTTAAGGCCATCACACCATGACTGAAACGTGTTTGTGGCCCCTATAAAAAAAAGGTTAAGTATGGCTGATCTAGAAGCACCATGGATTAAATAATATAATTTCTAAATTTATTTATTCACCATTAAGGTGACTAAAACTCAAGGGTACAAAATGTAAAACGTAGAAGGGTACTGTATATTTTTCCACTTGGTTTTCCGTTTTTCCACTACGTCTTATATAATTAATTATACATTTAATAAGAAAACAAGTAAGTGCATGTAAGCAATCAGGAAGATAAATCATACCATCTTTAAAAACCTTAATTATATATTGAACCACTTACTCATTTGATAAACATGGGAAAAGTATAAAGACATTTTAAAATGTTCATGAATCGCTTCCTTCCGCCCATGGTAACTATAAAAACTTGTATAATTTGTATTTAATTATAGTTGACTGTCGGATGTTATGTGGGTGGTAGTTATATCCATATATAAATATTCCGAGTGGATTGCCTTTTAGAGCAGTAAGGAGTGAGCAAGATTTTAATGGCAAAGGTATTATTGAACTTAAAAATATTGAGAGAGATAGTTTTCAAAGAACGTGAAGTCCGCTAACCTGCACTTGGCCAGCTGACAGACAGCAGGCTGACTATGCCTGATCCTCCTCTTATTGAAGGGAAGTCACAGCCCAGCAATAGGATGTTAAAAAGGGCTGAATACACAATACTTAGATGGAAAACACAATGAGGAACTGCTTGTCTAAGAGAATAAAACTAATTCTCGAAAGACGTGTGATGTCCGCTCATCGGGAGGAAATGTGCATTTGGACAGTGCGTTGGAGTATGATCTAATCTTCTCATCGAGAAATGGCTGGGACGTTATTATAATTATTGTTAAATTATACTTAGTTTTAAATTACAGCCATAAAAGATTTAATATTACATGTAAATTAATCATTACTTTTTTAAGATTTGGTTAATCAGTTGAAATGGGATATAGTTGTCGAACACTATCTATACAATAAAAAAGGTTCATCAACTTCTGCTCAGACATACTCATGTGATGCAATCGTATGGACAGAAAAGTATTTTCGATATACATATATGTATAAAGCTTCGAACAATTTTATTACATAGTTTACAAAACTTAAATTACAACCGGCATTACAACGGGATATTTACCAAATCGGAACTCAATATGTATATTAATACATATTTATATTAGTAGGTCGTACTGTGATGTAAAATAGCCCCCCAATAAATAGGCTATAAAACGCAAAAAGAATTTTTCAAATTGGATCAGTAGATCTAAAGCGCATTCAAGATTCAGCTTTATATATTAGTATTAACTATTGAAGTATAGTTTAGTTTACTGGACATTTATTTTTGTGATACTTTTGAATGGACATAAGCTTATAGAGTATCTTTGAATAGGTCTTTAAAAATAAGACAAGTGTTCTTAAACATTGTTTTGTTTAAATCAATAATTTCCGAGCTATATGTTTCTAAAACCTAAAACAGAGTAATTTCTCTGCACGGTATTGGCTCAACAGATTTTAATAGAATTCACATAAGTAATACATTTAAACGACATACTCGTAAGTACGCGGATAAATGTTAATTCTCAATTTCTAAAGAGTTTCATCAAAACCAGTCTTTATAAATGATTAATTTTGTAGAATTTACGTTAAAACTCGCGTCATTTATATTGAGGTTAATAATGATCAAGTAGAATAGCATTGGCGTTAATTACTGCACGTTTATTAGAATATTGGAGTATTTCATATGTTAAGGTCGATTCAAGCTGTAGACCTCCAAATATGTCCATTACCAATTAAATTTGGGCCACGCCTGTGCATTGCTTTGCACAGAGTAATTTGTGAATAGAGTAATTATGAAATTTAATAAGAACATTAAATAAGCATGATATAATTGTATAGTAAACGTGATAATTTTCAATTACAAAAATATTTACGGCTAGTTTAGTCTCGATGCTTCATGGTTATTCAATGGTGCTGTACTCTCACTCAAGCCATTTGTTAACAAGTGAAAATTTAGCTGATTCAATTCAGCAGCTCAGAGCTATAATCATATAAGCTCTATGTAAGGAAGATTTGAAAGTTACAGATTGAGTTAAAAGTTTTATTTATTTGTAAATATGTTACTTAAAATTGTATTTCATTTAACTTACTCAAAATAATCAATTTTATCAAACAAATGATAAATGCGAAGGTTTGTATGCGTGCGTACGCGCGTGCGTGCGTACGCGTAAATATGTTAACGCTACATCGACAATGTCTCTACGCATACATTACTCTAACCACGTTTTAAACCTGGTTCAACTGAAATGCCACTTCCTTGTATAAATAAAACAAGTCATATACGAACCTGTAGCCATATACCTCGGATAAAGACAATATGCTTTTAAAGCTTCTAGTTGTAGTAGTCAGCTTTTTTAATATACAGTTGTAAATAGAGTTAAAAATAATAATCAAAATAAGGGTTGTAAGCTTTTAATCTTGGACTTATAACAACACGTTTGGCACAGTTTGTAGTGACCCTACTTGCTGTACCAGTGATCATGGGTTCGAGTCCCGCTGGAGGCGTCCATTGTGTGATGAGCACGAATGTTTGTACTCAAGTCATGGATGTTAATATTTATTTATGTGTGTCTAGTGTATCAGCTATCCGGTATTTATTACCCAAGCCTCATACTATGGAACTACATGGTGCTGTATGTTACTGTCCTAAAATATATATTTACATTTACATATACATATATTGTGATATAGCTCTGCATTGCTTTAAGGCAAAATAATAAATTTTGTACAGCTATAGATACTATGAAAAGGTCTAAAGCTACAGAAGATTTTAAGCTTTGGAACTTTTCAAAACCCAGTGCTATGATTCGTCGTGATCTAAAATAGTAGACGCAATTAATATTTCTACGCTAGCTACAAGCATTATAGATATGTAACGTACTAGCGACTCACCCTCGCTCCGCTCGGGTTCTTCCCTACTTATGTTTTAACTTTTAGTATAGATTTCTCAGAGATTAGATATTTTCCCACAGTAAAAGTATCCTATATGTTGGACCCGGATAACCAGCTATCATCACACCAAATTTCAATAAAATCT